GTATTTTGTAACTTTAAAGTTTGTGGTTGCAAATTTGTGATTATGGTTGTTGAATGTTTTATGAAGTTAGTTTCAAGTTTCTAGTTTCAATCAGGGGATAATGGATATAGAATATCCGATAGGCGACAATTGATGCTTTGGGAGTTAATGAATAAACTAAATACCTACTATCACATAACACCTCCATATTTTTTTCTACGATTTAACCTATTTTTTTTAGATTTTTTAGAATTTTCTATATTAATTGACCACATTGTGGCGATGCACCCACATTTGGATCGCATTGGCGCCCTTCCCCCACCAACGCATCGGGCCGCATCCTTTAAAACACTGGTGAGGACCTACTTGGTTTGATGTTGAGCAATCTAGGGGGACTGGATAAGAGACAAGGGACAACACTAGATCACAAAGAAAGACGGTTGGGTTCACATCAACATTGATTCCAAAGTTGAAGTGGAAGAGGCTGACTCGAAGGAGATAGAGGAGGAAGAAGTGTACATGGAGGAGCGTGATGATATTGATGATGATGGCTCTTCAACTTTGGGTTTGGATGGGGGAAACACATGTGACAGATTACATGACTTATCTAATTAAGACTTGAGAGTTGACAGTTAGCTTATTGACTCATTGAGCTTAATTGTTCTATCAATGTTAAAAAATTCGCCCCCCTCGTTGCCTAGGTGGCCGGCACTAGAAAACACTTAACATGGGCCTAGGCAGGTTCCTCCTAGGGGGACATGTTCCTAGCCAGCTTAGCGGGTTTGGGCCTAGTGCCACCCTCTTAAAAAAAAGCCATTTTAAAATAAAATAAAATAAATTTAAGGCCTATTTAAGGCCCTTCTCTCTCTCTGTCTCTCCCCAACTTATGGGCCCATGCACTCCCTCTCTACATAGAAGGAGAAGATGGGCTCCAAATGTTTGACGTGAGGCCTCCCTCTCACACACAAAGACAACACATGGATCCATATACTCTCTCTCTCTGCATGTATGAAGAAGAAAAAGAATATGACCTCCAAGTGTTTGATGCGAGGTCCTCTCACTAACTAATTCTCTCCTCTCTCTCTCTCTCTCCCCATATTAGAAGAATAAAAAGAGGAATGTCCAAGTGTTCCAAGGCCTCTCTCTTAAACACACGTATCCGTATGCTCTATCTCTCTTACTCTACATATAAGACAGGCAAAAAAGATGATCTTTAAGTGTATTATGTGAGGCCTCACACACACACACGTGGCCCCCACCTAAACCACACCCCCAAGTATCTGGATGCCCGTCTGGGCGGCTGCCTTTTTGAACGTTGATATTTTTTATCTTCTATATTTATATGTTATGAGCTTTTGTCTTTGGAGTTTAAAAGTTATGTTTAGGCTGTGACTGGGAGGTTGTGGAGGTGAACTTTGATTGTGAAGTATTTTTGGTCTTTCGAAATTATGTTAAATTGTTAATTGTTTGTTACTATTGGGATGGAATTGATTACTTTATATTTCATGTAAAACAACAAACTGTGGTACTCTTTATCTAACTATCAAGCTCTTAGGTGACTCAGACAACTAAGGTATTAGTGAAAGTACTAAAATTAAAATTAAAATTACTATCACACATGCATACACCTGTGTTTTTCTATGCATTTTTATATATTTATGATTTTTCTATTTTTTAAAATTTATTGACTGATCGCATGTGATGCACTCACCTGGGGACTGGATTGACCCGCATCCCTCATTGGACCGTCGACTGCATCGAGTGCGCATCTTGCATTTGATACCATTCCTGCTGTCACGGGGCCTATCTTTTGCTCAGCACCATGCGGCCTTAATGCTTAGCCAAGCCTGCTAAGGGTTAAGTTACGCCTAAACAACACATCGAGTAAAGGGACTTTGCACATACACACACACACACACTTGCACCAACAAAAGGCTAATGAGTTCAAGGGCCGTGACCCACTTTATTAAGCTGTACACTTACAATGTATGCTGCCACAGATGCCCCCTCAAGGGTCTGGGCTATACCCCCCCCCCCGCGTTTGCAACAGTTTTGCAAATTCAAATTTATACACGTGGTGGCCAACCATAGCCTAAGGCCTGGTTGTGGATGCTGGCAGGCTGGTTATGCATGAGGCTGCCGCCCTCAGGCCATGTCCTGAGGTGAGACCTCGTAATGCGCTCACACGCCCTTGCACCTGACCACTGCCGCCTTCAATTTTGTGGCCCACATCCTGGCTGTTACGCCCACGTCTTGGCTGTTACACCCACATCGCCCACCGCTTGGTCCATTTGAATTTTAAACCTGGCACCTGCTCAACACAGGTGCTTTAAAACCCACGGTCAGCCCACAATTGATTTGTGCCAACCTGTGGTGCACAGGCTCATGCACGTGCACACCATGTTGCTGCACACCATGTTGCTGCATGCATGTCTTGTCCATTGCTATCCGCCAGTCTACCCAAGGCTTCCACCATCCCCTTAATAAGATGTTTATGCCTAAATAACTTCGAATCCAAGAGTGCATGTTTTGAGCATCCATGTGGCATAACTGCATGCTATGCATGCCTGGGGTTTTCCTATGCACCAGGCTGGTGCGTGAGGCTTGCTGGGTCATGCCTAAGGCAAGCAGGAGGGCCAGGTGAGGCCTCAGGCCGGTTGGGCAGTGCATCAAGGGAGCGTTGCGAGCCTCATCCTTGACCAACACGCACGCAACCAGCATGGGTCCTGACAAGCTGTCGCGGGGCTTATTCTTTTGTTTAGCACCGTACAGCCTTAACACTCAGCTAAGCTGCTGAGGGTTAACTTCAGCCTAACCAACACACCAGGAGTCGTGGCTGCAGGGAGATCCTTTACTCCCTGCCTCGTCAAGTCAGCCTGGACCCATGGCTGCAGCCCAGCCACGAAGTTGAAGAGCTTGTCTTCTTCAGACATCTTTTTAACGTCAAGCATCAAGCTTGTGAATTGCTTGACATACTCACGCATTGTGGCAGTGCGCTTGAGCTTATGTAGGGTTTCTCTAGCCGTCCAGGCAGCATTCCCTGCCAGGAACTGCTCCTTGAGCTCCCTCTTGAGGTCCTCCCATTCAACAATAGGAGGCCCCGAGCAAATTCTCCACTAGAGTTTAGCATCTCTGGTGAGGTACATCGAAGTCACCGTTACACGATCCTCGCTGGCACGGGCAGCAGTGAAGAACTGCTCCATATCCCACAAGAGGTTTTCCAACTCTTTCGCAACTCTAGCCCTGCCAAAAGGCTTAGGCTCAGGCACCTTTACACGTGGCTGCTCAAGCACGCCTGAAGAGTTGCTTAAAGCCCTCTGTACTAGGCTAGCTCATCATTCAGTGTCTTGAGGTTTTCCTTGAAGACATTGGTCAAGGAAGCAACATCAGCCTCAACGTCCCCCAACTGTGTTCCGAAGTTGCCAACGTGCTTCCTCCTGTGAAGCCATCAGCTCGTCAAGTCTGGTGCTAAAGGCTTGAGCTCTCTCCTCCGAGGTAGCCAGTCGAGCAACAAAATCGTCTAGTCGCTCCTCAACCAGACTAACACGATTGCTCACATTTAGGGCCATTGCTCTGAGCTAATTGTGGAACCTATGCTCTGATACCAACTGTCACAGGGTCTATTCCTTTGCTTAGCACTGTGCAGCCAGCCTTAACGCTTAGCCAAGCTGCTAAGGGTTAAGTTCAACCTAACCAACACCGAGTAAAGGGACTTTGCACACACATACACACTCGCACCAACACAAGGCTAATGAGTTCAAGGGCCTGGGCTAAGGGTTTATATAGCCCCTTTTACAACCGTTTTGCAAATTCAAATTTGTACACGTGGTGGCCACCCACAGCCTAAGACCTGGTCATGGGCAGCTGGCAGGCAGCCAGGGGGTTGTGGAGGGTTTTGAAGAAGGAGAGATAGGGAAGTGTTCAAAGGCGGGGTTCGAAATTATTCTATCGTTCCCCTCCGAAGGTAAAAAGGTGGAGTGAAGAAGGGAGGAAAGGGGGCTTGAAACTCTGGAATTTCAAGATCCCTCAATGGCCTTCTGAATCTCGGGTGCCACACTCGGTGTTGACCCACCGTTTGGAAAACCTCCGCTACCATGGCTTGTGGGTTCACCTCAATAAGGAAGAGGAGAGGGAATCTGTCCTTAAGTGGGGTGTGGCCGAGCCACAAGTGTGACCAATAAAGGACTCAGTGACCTTCACAAGGGTGGAAGCGGATGTAAGCTTCTAACTGGGGTAGTCAGTGAAGGATTGACATTGACACGCTGGAGCAGTTGGACTTGGCCCTTTCCATTCGTAGCCACCCATCCGGCTGGCAGCGGTATTTGAAATGAACAACCGCCTTCCAGCGATGGTTCTCTTGCTTAGCGAACTGTCACCACCATTTGCTGAGGAGGGCAAGATTGTTGGCTCTGAGGTTATGGATGCCAAGGCCCCCTTGAGATCTGGGGGAGCACACTCTGACCGAAGAGATCAAACATTATTTCTTCACCCCATTGCCTGTCCAAAGAAATTTCCTAATGAGTTGTTCTAGCCGGGTGGACACCGAGGCAGGCATGAAGAACAAGGACATCTGAAAATTGGAGATACTTGAAAAGGTATCCTTTATGAGGGTAAGACGCTCCGCAAAAGAGAGGTATCTGCCCTTCCACCCCACGAGCCTAAGCTCAACTCCATCCACGAGATGTATCTGCCCTTCCATAAGTGAAATCTCAGATTTGTTTTATCTTAAATGTTTGAATTAGTATATCTGGTTTGCCTACTTAAACTTTGATGGCTGTAATTATTCTTTCGTAACATTAACTGGTAATCAAATAGACAGGATCTCTTTTTAGCAAATTAGGTTTGATACTTAAGCTTTGAAAGATTTTTATTTTTGGAGAAGTCATACTGATTGAGAAGTTGAACTTGACTGTATCTTACTGGACTAATTCATAGGAATCAGTTTTTATATACACACACACACATACATATATATAGGTACATATACACATGCAATGAGATACATTTTAATTTGGATGCAGATGGTTGAAAACCCTTCACCCTTGTAGAAAAAGGGTGGGAAGATGGACTGTGGAAGAGGACAAGCGCTTGAAAGTAGCCATCATGCTTTTTGGTCCTAGATCCTGGAAAAAGATTGCTGGATTTGTCCCTGGTCGTACTCAAGTTCAATGTAGAGAAAGGTATTTTGATGCTTCTACGATTGAATACTTATTATGGTAAGTGATTATTTGTTTTGTTTGACTAATCTTAAGTTCCTTTACAGGTGGCTCAATTCTCTGGATCCATCTTTGAAGCTTGAGGAATGGACTGATGGAGAGGACTCCAAGTTGAAAGCTGCAATAGCTGAGCATGGATACTGCTGGTCTAAGATTGCATCGCATGTGCACCCTCGCACTGATAGTCAGTGTAGACGGTATGGATATTCTGTCATTCGTTATTATGTCTCTCTATGAGTTAGACATGATATCTCTTATGTAATTTTATTCAACTACCATATGATCTTGTTATGCTATCTTCAGTAATTAAATAGCTTTTTTTTAGGTGAAGTAAAATTTTGATTCAATATAAATTCAATTTCTCTTTGAATTTATTGATATTTCTCTCCTATCTAAATGCTACAGGAGATGGAAGGTTTTGTTTCCAGAGGAAGTACCAGTGGCTCAGAAAGCTCGAAAGTTACAAAAAGCGGCTCTTATTTCTAACTTTGTGGGTCGGGAAAAGGAGCGACCTGCAATTGGTCCTGATGATTTTGTTCCAGTTTCTGAGGAAAATAGTCCTGATAGTCTTGTGCCAGTTTCTGAGGAAAATATGTTACTTGGTGCTTCAGATGGACATGTTGGGACCATGAATAAGACATGGTAAATATCTTGGAGGGTTTAGCTATTCATCTATCATCCCTGGATTCTTATTTTGACGTCATTCTTCTGCTTTGTTTGTGCAGTACTACTCCCAAGTTGAAAAAGAAAAGGAGGCAGAAAGGCAGAGCCTCAGATGATTTGGTTCCAGTTTCTGAGGAAAATGTGTTACTTGATCCTTCAGATGGACATGTTGGAAACATGAATCAAACATGGTAAGTCACTGGAAGGGTTTAATATTTACCTATCTTCTCTAGATTCCTATGTTGACATCATTTTTTTGCTTTGTTTGTGCAGTACTACCCCCAAGTTGATAAAGAAAAAGAAGGGGGAAAACAGAGCCTCTGGGTATGTCATCATTACAAAGTCTTGAGGTTTTCCATCTTGCTTTGAATGGTATTCCATGTCATGAAAGCATAGATTTGGTTTCACAATTCTCTTTCGCTTTGATGCCAATTATCTACTTTGCTGCTTTCTTCGTTTTCTTTCTTTTTTTTTCTTTTTTTGGAGCAAATATATCTATATTTTATCAGGAGCAAATATATCTTCATCTTATCAAATAGACTTTGGTATGAAATTGCAGTGATGTCGCCAAACGAGGTGTCTTCAAATCGAGGACTAAAAAGAACTCCCTTGAAGATGCTCTGATTACAGAAGGTGGAGGCTCACAAAGCAATTTATGTGACAGTGGAAATGCTTCCAGAAAAGCCAGCTCTAGAAAATCATTGAATAAAAAGAAAAGACTTGTAGAAGATAGGAATCTGACAACGCAGGAAAACTTCAAATCTCATAAAGAATCTAAGCGAAGGAAGGGAGCATTATCTAATGAAGACACTTGTCTAAACATGATTCATGAGATTCCTCCATTAAATAGTTTCCATGAAAAGAAGCAGAAGGATAAACAGATTAAGTCAGTTTCTCTTCCTGTGAATAGTCCCACCAAAAAGAAGCAAAAGAAGAAACCAGTTAAGTTGGGGCATGTTAGTATAAGGGAGAACCGTGGAGCTACAAAATCCTCAATGAAACCCATTTCCCTAAGAAAATTGAAGCAGGCAATCCGAGAGGAAGCAGTCACTAGTATTGTTTCAGAGAGGAGCTGTGTAGTGGAACGAGCTGCATTTCAAGTAACAGACTCATCGAAGGAGAGAGGAAGGGATAACTGTGATCAGAATCAAGGACCTAATGCAATGGACGAGAATACCTTGGTTCCCTTGCAGCATTATGGACCTCTATTAAATACCAGAGAAAATGTTAGTGATGCAAATCCCCATGAGACTGCTCACATTACTGAAATGGCATGTTGCCCCTTAGTAGGTTGCTCATCCAGTGAGCCTATTACCATGAAAGAGTCTCCTGAATTGTCTTTGAAAGAAGATAAAATGTGTGAACAGTGTCTAAATCAGAGACAAGATGCTGATGGGTCAGATGTTTCACTTCCTCAGGACACTTTACTGGACAAAAATGAGAACTCATCACTGCTTGCAACCAATCTTGCATTGGTTTCCTTAGCAGAGCGTGAGCATGCTTCTCCAAAGAAGAGTCGTAGAGCCTCCAGAAAAAATATAGATTACAGTGAAATGGTTAAGGGAAAAGTCTGGCATTGATTATGAGTTGAATTGGAAATTTGATGGATGTTTAAAGAGTATCACTTGAAGAAAGATTTTAAAATATGGCTACTTGTTTGAGTAGTTGTTTCTGTTGTGGTTTCTGCTAATCCTGATTGATCCGAATAATGGGAGGAGGTCCAATCCTATTATCTTTGAAAATTTGGACCCTTTATCATCTATGGATTGCAAACAGGTACTATTATTGGAAATGCTTCCTTTTTTTATTACTCTTGTTTGATGGTCTGAATTATCTGTATATTAATCAACTGACAGAAGTAAAAATTTTTCACACAGACCCTCACACATACAGATGGCATGCTAATGCTGTTCAGCTTAGTGGGAAGAAAATATCTCAATACACTGCAAGATATTAAATTTAGGGCAAGCTTTCTATGCTGCCCCTATAGCATGAAACTTATAGCTTCCCCTTATCCAACTTCCATCCTGAATGGACAGTTGAGATTTCTCCACACAATGTCACTTCTCTACTCTATTTTATTTTTAATTTATTCTATACAAATTATTTTGACACCAAATTTTGGGCGTTCATTCTCTCTTAAACTCGCACTTATAAAAATATTAAAAAACTATTATCAATAAAATGAAATGACCAAAATACCCCTGAATGTTTCAAGGGGTATTTTGGTCATTATATTTTATTTAAAAATTATTTTAAATATTTTTTGTATGTGTGCCCCAATGAGAAGATGACACGTACCAACTTTCATATTCTTACGATTTGTATAAAAAAAATTAAAAATAAAATACTCTGAGGCGTCGGATCTAAAATCAAACGGTGAGTGGTTCACTTGATCAAAATTGGACAGCTGGATGGTAGGGGAAGCATCTATGTTGTAGGGGAAGTATAGAAACCTGTCCCTTAATTTTATACAGTGCATGACTATCTTTGCAAGATATTACATCTATACAGTACATGACTATTTTTCATAAGATAGAAAAAGATTCCCCTAATGTAGAAGTTACTTTGTAGTGGCCATTGAGATGACATCTTGTCATCTCTCTTGCCTCCTTTCTGTTGTACTTTTTTGAATGATTTAAGAATTTTGTTATTGGTCGATTAAGAAGTTGGAAAGAAAGAGGAAAATCAATGTTCATGCAAACTGATCCAACAGTTAAAATTGAAAATAAAAAATTCAGGGAACCAAAATTGGTGTCATGTTTCTGTAGACTCTTCCATGGTGTTTGTATCTTTCTGTTTGTCTTTATTTTACAAACTTCAATTATTTTGTTTGCTCTTGTGGAATAATCTCATGGAAATCAAATATTAGCCCAAAATTATAACCATGATTAATTGGTCATCGGGTGAACTTATTCTTACCCTTTCATGCCCCCCATGGTCATAAGGTGCCTTTCTAATATTCCATCTCTTTTGTTTGTATTGCATGGTTTCAGGCATGCCCCTGTTTCTCCGTGTCCTCTGGTTGCTGCAACATGCTGGGACGGCTGGTCTACCTCAAGCTTATAAAAAATGTACCGCTGGTAACCAGTGGATGTTATTTACTTTTGATATTTATTTTTTGTTTTTTTAATTGCATTATCTTCAAATAGAAATTCGACCTTTTAGATGGTCAAGTTGTTTGTCATCAACCTTCCCTTTGGAGACTTCAACTCGTCTGTGATCAGATTTTTGATATCACAAGGTCCTTAACGGTCTCTGCCAACCATGTTTGGAGAGACGCTAATGAGCAGATGCATTGGCCAAGGAGGGCAAATTGCCCAAAATTTGTCACATCCTCAGCGTGGAATGAATGGTTAGGCCTACATTTTTGTATAGTTTCTTTTTCTGTACAAAATTTCCTCAAATGTTTCCGGGGACATTTTCGTGTAATCTATTTTTGTACAAACTGCCCTGCCTTGTAAAGGGGATAGAGATGTAATGTAATTTTTATGTAACACTACATGGTCAGCTTTATTCAAAACAAAGAAGTTGTTTTTGCTGTTCAAATATGCTTCCTTTTGTGTTTGCTGACTGGTTCAGTCAAAGTAGGCATGTTCTATCATTTTATTAAATTCATGATGTATCATTATTTATTTTTTGGGTAGTATAATGGGACAGAAACTCAGAACAGAACGTGATGTTGTGGCGCATAGCTACCATGACCAGCTAGCCTTGAGCTCATTCCTAAAATAATGCACGATTATTTGTTCAACATACATTCTAAAGTGAGTCATTTTAATTTTTCAGTTTTACTTGCAAGACATTTAGGTCGATTGCACTTCTTGGGTTGTCTTTCTTCAGGATTCCCTTATTTTTTTAGTTGTATGTGGTAGTCAATTAGCATATTTTTCTGTTTCATGTTTGTTTTTTATTTTGCAATTTATGTTATTTTTACTTTTATTTTGGTTTTAGTTGTTTTTTCAGCTAGTGAACCATGATAGTAAAGATTGAATGGTTGGTTCTGAGTTCTTCGCAATCCAAGTTGAAAAGAGCCATCTTGAAATATGCTGGTGTGACACTAGTTACAATTATGCTTGTCGCCGTTTACATTTTCCATGAATAACGCGGGCGTATATCTCGATTGTACTGCTGGCATTCGCATTCCTTTTATGGCTTCCTGAGATTTAACGGTTTTCACTTTGAAAATGAAAAAGCAGGAGCCCCATGTGGTAGAACATGTTCATTTTGAGGGACTTTGTGGTGCCATAGGCCTCGGCTCAGTGGCACGCATGTCTGTTTGGGTAAAGAGGAAGGTCAAGCGTCTCATACCATCCACGTGCAGTGGTCCCACTGGCATACATATTATTATTTAGGCACTAGATATTTTTTCCTGTGATGTTTGTTTTCTGGTGGGTGAATAAGTTCTAGTGAGGTGTACAAATCTAAGGAATTAAGCTTGGGGTAAGCATAGGGTAAGAAAACGATTTTTATTGTCAACCTTTTTAAAGGCATGGGAACGTTCTTAGGTTTGAACACTTACTAGGAAGGTGAGCAAATCCAAAGTTCCATGTTTAGCACATGGTGAGAGTACGCAAGTTCAGCAGATGGAGAGAGAAAAGAGAGAGTTTGTGGTTCACTTTTGGAAAAATATCTTCATACTCACTATTTTTAAGTATCATTTCACGATAGACTCAAGATTTTAAAATATATATTAAGGAATAAAATTTGTAGTTTTTATTTCTTCTAACCCCCTGAGCTAGATTAAACTTGTTTTTTTAGGCCAAACAAATTTTAAAAAACATACTTTTTGTAAAGCATAGAGGTTCTTAAGCATTCCTTTTTCCAAGAAAGTATGACTGCAGATAGGACAAGAGTGTTTTTTAATTGATGTAACTTTAGAGGGATGTGAATCAAAGGTAAAAACATATCCCATAATGTATGTTTTACAAATATTGAAAATGGGCAATTTGCTAAGTACCAAGAAAAATAGAAATCACAAATCACAAAAAGTATAATCACAACACAAGATTTAATGTGAAAAACCCTTCAATGTGAACGGAAAAACCACGGGGCAAATCCGAAAGATAAATCCATAAAAACAAATAAGGATTACAATATAGTTTTTTTTCAAGTTTTTGCCCAAAACTTGAGGCTTACAATCAAATGAGAGAACAACAATAACTTGAAGAAATACAAGGTTACTTTACAAACATCAACAGAATGATCTCTTTCCTACCTCATAAAACCCCAAAGATGGTCTTCCAATGGCTTGGAGAAACTGTCGTAGAGCACAACAACTGTTCTGGTTTTCAGCTGAGTGTAGAGTGTGAGAAATAGCAAAACACACCAACTGTTCCTGTTTCAGCTGAGTGTAGAGTGTGGGAAATAGCAAAGATGGCCTCTGGAATGACCTATCGAGATGCTCACCAATGGATGAAGGGTACTCAGCGGTGGAGGGTGCTCGCTAATGGAGATGGTCGCTCATGTAGGTCATCGCTGGTGGATGGAAGGTGCTGATCTCTCTCGTACTCTCTATACCGTAGTGAAATACCCCTTTTGGGGTTTGTCTGTTAAACACCCTTATGTTCTCTCTCTCTCTCTCTAACGTTTTTTTATTTTATTGGGTCCTTTTTTTTTTTTTTTCTTTCCACTCCTTATGGAGTTGGACACCACAAGGTAATTACCCAACAAACTCCCCCTCCAGACCCATTAGGAGGGCTCCCCCATACTGGATGCTCACATGGCACCCATGACTGCCAAAGCTCTGCATAACTCATGCTTCTCCTTTGGCACTGTTTTTGTCATCATGTCTGATGGATTCTGATTGGTATGGATTTTGTAAATCTTCATCAACCCATTTTCTAAGACGTCTCGAATCCAATGGTACTGCACCTCAATGTGTTTGGTTTTGGAGTGGAATGTAACATTCTTGCTAAGATCAATGGCGCTTCGACTGTCACATCTAATTACATACTCTTTTTTCTTCAAACCCAACTCTATAAGAAAACGCTTCAACCATAATATCTACTTATAGGCTTTTGTAGCAGCAATATGCTCTACCAACTTTGATCGCCAAGAAATGGCTCCTCCTGCAAAAGTAAACAAGTAACCTCAAGTAGATTTCCTTCTATCAAGATTTCCTGCCATATCCGCATCTGTATAGCCTTCCACCAAGGGTGATGAGTTTCTAAAACATAGACAAACTTTAGATGTGCCTCTTAGATACCTTAGAATCCAATTTACAGCTTCTCAATATTGCTTGCCTGGATTTACCAAGTATCTGCTAATGACACCGGTGGCATGTGCTATGTTAGGCCTTGTGCACACTATAGCGTACATCAAACTTCCTACGACTGAAGCATAGGGGATCTTATCCATTTCCTTCTTCTCTTCATTGCTGGTTGGAGATAACTTGGCACTCAACTTGAAGTGACTAGCTAATGATGTACTAACTGGTTTCATATTCTTCATGTTGAATCTTTCAAGTACATTCTCAATGTACTTTTCTTGTGATAGCCACAACTTTTTGTTCTTCCTATCACACTTTATTGTCATGCCCAAAATTTATTTTGGGCCCCTAGGTCCTTCATGTCAAAAAACCTTGTTCAATTCTTTCTTCAACTTGTCAATCAAATTAGCATCTTGACCAACGATGAGCATATCATCAACATATAACATGAGAATAATAAAAGAAGATTGGAAATACGTTTAAAGGTAAACACAGTGGTATGCAGTGGTTCTCATAAAACCATGACTCATCATAAAAGAGTCGAACTTTTTGTACCATTGTCGTGGAGCTTGCTTCAATCCATACTCGCTCTTCTTCAACTTGCATACCATGTGCTCTTTGCATTTCATTAGGAAACGTTCCGACTGTTCCATATATATCTCTTCCTTTAGATCTCCATGCAAGAAAGTTGTTTTGACATTTAATTGCTCAATCTCCAAGTCGTGACTAGCAGCTAGACCTAGGATAGTGCGAATAGAAGTCATCTTCACAACGAGAGAAAATATTTCATCAAAAGCAACACCATTTTTCTACTTGAATCCCTTGACAACCAACCTTGCTTTGTACCTCATTTTCTTCTTGTCATTTTCATTTTTCAACCTAAATACCCACTTGTTCTTCAAAGCTTTTCGTCGTTTTGGTAGCTCAACTAGCTTACAAGTTTCATTCTTAGAACTTGATGACTTTATTCCATTGTTCATTTTGCTCATGTACGATAACTTCTTTAAAACTTTATGGTTCATCACTTTCAGTGAGTGTGACATACTCTGATGATGAATATTTTGTTGAGGCTTTTCGTTCCCTTTGTGGCTTTCTCACCATAAGTGGTTCTTCTTGAGGAGGCTGCTCCCTCTACTCAATATCACCATGTACATCATCATTACCATATACGTCATCATCATGCACATCATCTATTTGAGGAGTCTCACCACCCCAAACTTGGTTATCTTTATCTTAAACTTGCTGCCCATCATTATGATGTATGGGTAAAGGGGCTTGTGCTTCTGGTAGCTCATCTACAAACCTATTTGACGGTTCCTCCTTATCAAAATAAAAAAGTGTTTGATTTTCACGAAAGATCCCATCTCGGCTTCTATGCAACTTTTTGGCCTTTGGATCCCACAACCTATACCCAAATTCATCATCTCCATAACCCAGAAATATACATTGGGTTGCTTTGTCATCTAACTTACTTCAGTGCTCTTTAGGTACATGTATGAAGGCCTTGCATCCAAAGACTCTCAAGTGTGTGTAGGATACATCTTTGTCGGTCCACACTCTTTCTGGCACATCCCCTTCCAATGGAGCCGAAGGAGATAAATTTATCAAGTAGCACGCCGTATTCATAGCTTTACCCCAAAACTCTTTTGGTAACTTAAATGAGGAAATCATGCTTCTAACCCTTTCCATTATGGTACAATTCATTTTTTCTACAATGCTATTATGCTGCGGTGTGGAGGGAACAATTTTCTCATATCATATGGCATGCTTGACACAATAATACTCAAAGTTCCTTGAAGTGTACTCTCTACCATTATTTGTGCGAAGGCATTTCAAGGACTTCGATGTTTGTCTTTCAACCATGGAACTTTTGAAAATTTTCAAATACTTGATCTTTGCTCTTCACGGTAAAACTCCAAACTTTCCTAGATGCATCATCAATGAAAGTGACAAAATACAAAGCACCAATAAGAGTTTTCACAATCATAGGGTCACATACATCAGAGTAAACTAAATCAAGTATTTCATTATCCCGTTTAGTTTTTCATATGAAAAGGAAACTCTATGATGTTTTCCTACTAAACAATTATCACAAGAGGTTAAGGACGTACCTTTGAGACTTGGAATAATATTTCTCTTCACTAAAATCTCCAAACCTCTCTCACTC